TATATATATATTCATATTCTACCTAGGAATGTGTACATGGGGGGCGTGAACTGTATTGTGTCTGCCAGATTTTGGTTTTGGAGGTGTTGTCCTACCATTATAAAGGAGTTGTATCCTATGTTTTGTTTTTCTTTGAAATTTATGTTTTGTTTTATTTTTGGTACCAGGGATAAAACTTGGGATCTTACACTTGCGATGCAGGCAGTGGAACCACTGAGTTAAATCCCTGGCCTGAAGTTTGTGTTTTATAAGAGAATTATTTGTTCATAAATAGTAGAACTTGATAGTAAAGTCTACTTTACTACCTGGGATTTTTTTTTTTGTGGGACTTTTGAGCATTGATATTTTGATTTTCCATTCCTAAATTCAAGTTTTGTTTTTGTTTTTCTGGGAATTTTGCCATTTCTAATAATTTTCAGTGCATTAGCAATGAGTAGTTAATGATGTCCTTTTGTCTTAACATCATAGCACAGGTGTTGATGTTCCCCTTTTCACTTTTTCTGTTCTTGACCCATCTCATCAGATGTTTGTCACTTTTATAAGACTTTTCCAAGTATCAACTTTTGATTTGTTTCCATTATTTTTTTCCTAAGCTGTTAAGATGGATGCACACCTCATTAAGCCACCTCCCCCAGTGGTACTGGGGATTGAGCCCAGGCCTTTCCACGTGCTAGGCAGGTGCTCTACCACTCAGCCATAAAAATTTGAGAGAAGGGGTTTTGCTAAATTTCCCAGTCTGGACTTGAATTTTGATCCTCCTCCTTCAGCCTCCCAGGTGTCTGGGGTTACTACAGGCAGGTGTGTGCCACTGCACCCAGCTCTTTTTAAGTATTTGCACATAAGGCCATGGATGTTCTGATTATGGCTTTAGTTGTATTCTGTAAGTTAATACATGGAATTAAGTCCCGGTATTTTCAAATTTCTGTGATTTTTTTTTTAAACTGACTCTTGTGTAATTTAGAAATGTTACTTAATTCCCACACAAAGAAAAGGTTTTAGTTTTTTGTTTTAGTGATTTCTACCTGTATTGAGATCTTGTCAGGAAATATAGTAAAAATTATTTCATTTGCTTGAAATTTAGGGTTTGCTTGATGGAAAATGCATGGTCAGCTTTGCAGGTGCTGTGAGCCAGCCCAGTGAGCATGTGCATTCTCCAGTGCGGAGACAGCGGCTCATGGGCTCTAGACCCTCTGTGTGGAGGTGCTGGACAGTGCTGTTAGTCAGGGAGGGCAGTGATCACTCGACACTTTTATTGCCAGGTGGGCTGCACCATGGACCTTCGGGGGCGATGTTCTGGCATTCATACTATCTCCTGCAGCAACACCCTCATGCACATATCAGAATAATGTTGGACCCACATGTCTGGACCCCTGTGGGCTGGTCAGGTGAATGGAATTAGCTGTAACACATTGTGTTGTGAGGAAATTCTGGCACAAGTTCACTTGTTTTGTGATGGCTTTTCTGGCACTGGAGTTTGAATTTAGAGCCTTATTGCCTGTGCTGAGTGAATGCTTTTCCTCCTAGCTGCACCTCATCTATCGTGGTTCTTAAAAGCCACGTAAACTACAGCTCTTAGCGAAAGCCAGCAGAAAGCAAGAAAGGGCAGCAATGTGGAATTCTATTTGACTGGGTGAGGGTTCTGAGTGGGTTGGAGCCTGCAGGGCTTTCCCACCTGTCTCCTGCCTGCATTCCTGACTGTGCTGAACTGGGATGGGAGCTGTGGAAAGGCTGGGCATGGCTAACTGTGCCCAAGGAGCGGTGGAGGCACCTGCAGCAGTGGTGCTCTCTGTGCCGCCCCGGCCTGGCCCCTCATACCTAGACTGCCCTGGAAGTGGGTTCCTGAGAGGTTTGGTGGGGTGCCGGGGTGGGTGGGGCACCCTGTGGTGCCACGCGTCTCCTCTCTCGCAGATGAAGGGTGCCCTCATGGAGATCATCCAGCTCGCCTGCCTGGACTCGGACCCCTGGGTCCTCATGGTCGCTGACATCCTGAAGTCCTTCCCTGACACAGGGTCTCTCAACCTTGACCTCGAGGAACAGAACCCCAATGTTCAAGATATTTTGGGAGAGCTTAGAGAAAAGGGTATGTTGTTGGGGGCCTGTCCCTGACGCAGGTCGGCCACGCTCTGCGTGGTGTGGGAACCTGGCCCGGCTGAGAGGGTGGCAGTTCCTGAGGTCCCATCCCCACTGCTGGAGTGCAGGCACCAGGACTGCTCCTGAGGTGGATCTCGGACCCTTGAAGAATGTTGGGGAGGCGTTGGTATCCTGAGTGTCTCCCCTTCTTTGGAGGACAGGCCTGCCAGGCCTGGGTGGGAAGGCTGCCCCTGGGGTGGGGTGGCCTCAGCCGGGCTTATGTGCTGCCACTCAGCCCGCACAGAAGCTGCTGGAGTCTGTTGGGCAGGGCCCCGGGCACCTCCTCTCCCTGAGAGGCTGTGCTTTTGCTCCAGGTAGCGTTGGCACTTGTTTTGGCAGCAGGAACCCCTGCTGTCTTCCTCAGGGGTTACCAAGCTCTGCCTTTGGTGACCACATGGTCCCAGAGGCATGTGCGGGTGGTCCTGTCCCCCCACTGTCATCCTGTTGCTGGGGCGTCTGAGATGGCAGAGCACAGTCGTCCCCGTCCTCCTGTAGGGGCCACTGGATGGTGGCCCTGGGGAAGGCAGAGCCCACTGGACTCTTCCCTGGGGCTGGGGGCACCGCTGACCCGCATCTCCACAGTGGGCGAGTGCGAGGCGTCCGCCATGCTGCCACTGGAGTGCCAGTACCTGAACAAGAACGCCCTGACCACGCTGGCCGGGCCGCTCACGCCACCGGTGAAGCACTTCCAGCTGAAGCGCAAGCCCAAGAGCGCCACACTGCGTGCTGAGCTGCTACAGAAGTGTGAGTGTCGCCTGTGGCCTGCTGCGCTGCTGCTGGGGTGGCGTTGATTTAGTGTTCACTGATTCCTTTAAGACTTGTAAGGGACCTAAGCTGTCTTTTCCAAAAGCCCGTGTGCCAGCTGTAGCAGCACACACTTGTAATCCCAGCTGCCCCGGAGGCTAAGGCAGGAGGGTCATTTGAGGTCAGCCTGGGCGAGGTGGTGAGAGCCATCTCAGAAGCAGGTGTAGGTTTTAGTAGCTGTTTCATTCTGAGTAGTCCCGAAGTGGATTTTACTGACGTACACATGTGCCCCGTGTCAGGAGACTGAGGTAACCACCGGCAGAGGCACAGCGTCTGGGCCAGCACTGTTTGGGGCTCTGAGGAGCCCCAGGTGCCGGGCCACCTTACAGTCCGTCCTTGGCCCAGCCTCGGACCTCAGAGCATGATGGGTCTGGGCGTGTCACTGAGGGAGAGCGGCCACTTCACCTCAGCTGAGGGCAGCACGGCCAAGCGCTGTGGGAGCCCTCGGTGCCACCCTCTGGGAACCATGTTTGGATGCCAGAGCTGCCCAGACTGAGGGACTGCATGGGAGGCACTGTCACCCTGATGCTTGTGACACCTCTGCAGCCACCGAGACCGCGCAGCAGCTGAAGAGGAGCACGGGGGTGCCGTTCCATGCCAAGGGCCGCGGGCTGCTCCGCAAGATGGACACCACAAGTGAGGCCGCAGGGTGGGAGCTGCACCAGCTGGGAGCGCGGGACAGCTGCCTTCCCAAGCTCTGCGGTGCCCTCGGGGTGGACACACGCTTGGCTGGGGTGAAGGGTGAAGTCAAGGGCCTGGGGCTGGGCCGCAACTGCTGTCCTCCCCCGCTGACTGCACCCTCTCTGCAGCCCCACTCAAAGGCATCCCGAAGCAGGCACCCTTCCGGAGCCCTACCACACCCAGTGTCTTCAGTCCTGCCGGGAACCGGACCCCGATCCCCCCATCCAGGACCCCGCTGCGGAAGGAGAGGGGTGTGAAGGTGGGCCCCGGCCCTGCTCTGTGCCTGTGAGGTGGGCCCTGGTCCTGCACGTGGCCCTGAGTGCGGCTGTGTTGTTGCAGCTCCTCGACATCTCTGAGCTGGATACGGTGGGTGCCGGCCGGGAGGCCAAGCGGCGGAGGAAGACGCTGGGTGCGTAGGGCACTTGCTGGGTGTTTGCTGGGTGGGCGGTCAGGCCAGGGCTCTCTTTCTGGGACCTGCAGACCCCACTTACTTGCTGAGGCCCCAGGCCCTCATTTGTCACAGGCTGGCGACTTCCTTACCCCAAGCTGGTGGGTCCCTGACCAGTGCATGTCTTTGTGCACAGATGCAGAAGTGGTGGAGAAGCCAGCCAAGGAGGAGACGGTCGTGGAGAATGCCACCCCGGACTATGCGGCCGGCCTGGTGTCCACACAGGTAGGGCTTGGCACAGTGCGGTCACCACCGCCTCAGCATCTGCCACCATTTGTGGCGCAGCCAAGCAGGCATACACATGTGCAGTCACACATACGTATGTACATGTATATGAGAGGGGCACTGCCGAGGCCCTGGCGTGGGGTCCCCTGCTGCCTGTGCCAGAGGGGCGCCTGGTGGGTGAGGGGCCCCCAAGCACCTCCGCGTCTCCAGAAGCAGCCAAGTGATGGCTAGGCTTCCTCCTGCGGTGGCAGACTGTTTGCTAGAGCGCATGCGTCCTCTTCTCGACCACTTCCATGTAAGGAAGGCGGTGGTGACCCTCTTCTCCCCAGCAGTGGTGTGGGAGGACTCCAGATGCTGGGGACAGGGCCAAGCTCCTGCTATCACGCAGAACGGCTGGGGAGGGGCCCTGAAAGCTGGTCCTCTGCTGGGAGCGACTGTGGCCTCTGTCTTCCAGAAACTCGGGTCTCTGAGCAGCGAGCCCGCACTGCCATCCACCAGCTACCTGCCTTCCACACCCAGTGTGGTCCCTGCGTCCTCCTACGTCCCCAGCTCCGAGGCACCCCCAGGTGAGCAGGATGCAGGCTTGGTCGGCCTCCCCAACCTCCCCAGCTCAGCACGTCTACTCGGGGTGGCCTTGCCAGGTGGGCTGCTATAGGTCCAGAGTCCAGTCTTCTTGGCATCAACCTGGGTCCCCAGTAGGGTGTCCCCAAGCCCTTGTGGTCCCAAGGTTCTTGGAGAAGCTGACCGCAGGCTGGACCCTGGTCTGTTAGCTGGGAGGTTGCTGGGTAGCTGGGTGGTCTCGCCTCAGGCTGGCAGGATACTGGGGCTGCTGCCATGGTCTGGGCTGTGGGTCTGGAACCTCCCTCGGGCAGGGAAGGGGCCTGGGGACAGCAGTGCAGGTGACCTGGAAATGGGCTGGGCACGGGCTTGAGACCCCCTCAGTGGCCCTGTCCCCTACAGTCCCACCATCCCGAGAAGCCAGCCTGCAGGCCAGCCGGCCACCCGAGGAGCCCAATACCCCGAGCCCCACGCTGCCGGCACAGTTCAAGCAGAGGGCACCCATGTACAACAGCGGTCTGGGCCCAGCTGCACCAGCACCTGCAACACCCACCTCGCCCCTGACGCCCACCACTCCCCCAGCCGTGGCCCCTACTGCCCAGACACCCCCTGTGGCCATGGTGGCCCCGCAGTCCCAGCCCCCTGCCCAGCCACAGCCTAAGAAGAACCTGTCCCTCACGGTAGGTGTTCTGCTGGGCCTGTGGGTCCCCAGCAGGGTGGCAGGGCCATGCCTACTTGGTGTTTTGGGCATCCATGCCTTCTCCTTGTCCACAGCGAGAGCAGATGTTCGCCGCACAGGAGATGTTCAAGACGGCCAACAAGGTCACACGGCCCGAGAAGGCCCTCATCCTGGGCTTCATGGCAGGGTCCCGAGGTGTGTCTCTCAGTGTCCTGTGGCTGGCCTCAGTGGGGGTGGGGGCCATTGGCCCCACACCCTTCCAACCATCCCTGTCCTCACAGAAAACCCGTGTCAGGAGCAGGGGGATGTGATCCAGATCAAGCTCAGCGAGCACACAGAAGATCTGCCCAAGGCTGATGGCCAGGGCAGCACCACCATGCTGGTAGACACCGTGTTTGAGATGAACTACGCCACGGGCCAGTGGACGCGCTTCAAGAAGTACAAGCCCATGACCAATGTGTCCTGAGGGCCACCTGGCCTGTGGCCCTGCCTTCCAGGTTCTGAGGGACAGCGACTGGCCACCCACATACTGCTGGCCCTGGCCTCTCTACGTCTTAAAATTGTTTCTCTGGGGTGTTTGGGGCTTATTTTTATACTTTACTATGGGTTACTTTTTGTGTGGTCAAAGTACTTTTTTGGATTCAGTATTACATTTTTGAATGTTGAAGTTAACCAAAAAAGTTACAGCTTCCTAATCTAGTGCCTGGTAGACTTTTACCTTTCTACTTTTTTCTTAAATCCCACAGAGAGGGCTTTTTCTTGCCACTGTGATGCCCTCCCCATGAGGTTCAGGGGACCAAAGGTGGTGTGGTAGACAGGGATGGATGCCTGCAGCTTATATGTCTTGTAGTCATGGCAGTGGCCCGTCTCTGGGACCTGCTTGTGTAAGGCTGCATAGTTAAGGCTGAGCTTTTCTACAGGAAGCCGCAGAGCTATGTTTCAGCCCAGGTGGCTGAGCTGTGAGGGCAGCCTCTTCTAGGGCAGTGCCAGAAGCCAGGGGGATGGGGTCACAGGCCCTGGTGGGTAAGCTGAGAGCTTGGGGGCTGCCCGAGTCCCCAGCCACAGGACTAGGACAGACACTGCCCCCCTCCTTCCACCTGGGAAACTTCTGCAGTACTGGGAATTGAACCCAGAGGGCATCTAGCGCCACCTGCAACCCATCTTATATTCATCCAAGACAGTCTGCTTACCCAGGCTGGCCTCGAACTTAAGATCAGCATCTGGGACTGTTACAGGTATGTGCTACTACCCGGGCCACATTTCCCCAAAGCAGAACCCTACTATCTGCAGCATACGCCCACCACCTTTCCCAAGGCAGGGATGCAGGAATAGGACCAGACCCTGCCGGGCTGGTCCCTTGGAAAGGAAATCCAAGTACAAGCCTATATGAAATAAGTATAAGAGAAAGGCCTTTAAAATGCTTTTAATACAAAAATACTCATACACAATTTTCCAAACACAAATTTCCACTTTAAATGCTATTTCCCCCCAACTGGCAATTCTCAAATCTCTATTTCAGTATATCCCCCCTCCCCCAAAAAAGGTGAATTTCAAGTTTTAAAATCTAACTATGAAACCTGGTGATAGCACCCACTGTTCCTAGGCGGAACCTGACCTGTCGTATGGAGTAGAGACCCAGTAGGCACATTGAACGTGTTGGGTTTCTGATGGCACAGTAACACCCACGGTGATGTCACTCTCATGACTGACAGTCACCAGTACACTGCTTGGAGCCCAAGACGCATGGCAACTGGCAGTTGTTCGCAGTATCTGGAATTCTTAAAAATCAGCTAGTTCTGGAAGGCGGGCACTGCACATCAGCATGGTTCAGATGCCAAGGTCGATACTTCGAAGGCTTTAGAAACGGCAGCCTGAGTGTGCTGGGGATGCTGGGTGGTGTCACTGTAGAGGAAGGACAGCCAGGCCCTCACCACCCTTCTGCCAAAGGCCTTCCCCACGGAGCTCCTGTTACAGCCACCTGGCTGGATGCACCCCGTGGCTGTGCTCCATGTGTGGTGCAGGCTGCCAGTGTGGCTGTGGAGGGACGACTCGGCTTGCAAGTCCCAAGCTGTTCAGCAGTTGATGTTTGCTGTGCTTCACGGTAACAACCAAGGACTGAAGCTGATAGTCAATGAATCCTCAGAAACAAACCTCCCCAGGCTCAAAACAGTCAGGTAGTCGGAGCACTGGCCCCAGCCACCACCGTGTGCCTGTCAAACCCAGCAGGAAAGGCCCTTGGCGCCTGGGGCCACCCCCCAAGGCCTGGTACTCAGATTTCTAAATTGGTCTAATAAAGATTTTCAAAGTTAGTGTTATTTGTTCATTAAAAGCCTTTGGAAAGGGATATCACTTAAACTTTTTTGCAATATTTCCTTCAGAAAAATCATAAAATAATTTGGAAGTAATATCAAAGTGACTCAAAAATCATAAGATTTTACTACTGTCAAATACAAAAATAAGTTAATCTGCTCCCCAAAGTGCACTGCAAAACCACCTCTGATACTGACTTATGCAGGAGTCACTCAGCTGCCAGGAAAGGATCTCAGGATGAGTGACAGTGCTGGCCTGCACCTGTCCGAGGAGCCTGGGTCACGGGCTCCGCAGGTGAGTGACATTGAACAGCCTTCCAAGTCTGGGGCAGAAATCTGAACAATCCCATATTTTCTGAGGATAGACTGAGTGAAATTAGGCTCTACGCCGAAAAACAGCCCCAGCCCCCTCATCAGGCAAGTGGTTTCCAGAGGTAAAAGACTGCTGCAGGAGCCAGCTAAGCTGCAGAGTTGTGGCTTCCTTGGGTCCCCTCCTGGGCCTCGGCCAGACAAGCCAAGCAGGATGAGGGGCACGGACCCCTCCCAGCCAGTGCTGGGCAGGTCCTCACCCTGACAAACCACAGAGCATGGTCAGTCCTGTTCCAAGTGCAGGCTGCGAGTCTGCAAGACGAGGGGCAGGAGAGCAGTGGGGGTGACCGCAGCGGCGTCCCAAGGACAGCGGCGGCTCTGGAGCGGGGATGCGCTGCGAGCAGCACCCAGGGAGTTGTACATCGGACCTTGGAGTCAGACCACCAGATCTTCAAGGACAGTCTGGGATTTCTCGCTGGCATTCGGGCCAGGCTTTTCACTTACTGCAGGGCCTGAAACCTCACAGGAAAATGAGTGGCATTGAGCCTGGCGACACATGAGGCGAGGGTTTCTTGATGCACACCCCTGGGGTGGCGCTGGCGCCCAATGGTGCTCAGTCAGGTCCCGTGGGTGTCGCTGCCATGCGCTCAGCAGTACCAGTTCACTGCTGCTGCTGGAGAGCTCAGGGCACATCAGGAAATGACACGTTTTGGTGGTAATTTGTGAGACGGATTAAGCAAAAATATAATGAAGATAAAAACCAAAAATGGTAAAGAAAAGCCAAATTTTTAAAGAAAAACATACAAAGCTTCCCAGAAATGTTGCTAAGAACCAGTGTGTTCCTCAGACCTGGGGAGCAGCTGCTCGGTGCAGCCCAGGAAGAACAGCTGGCGGAAACCACCACGGAAACTGCCATGGGGGTGGAAGAGAAGCGTTTCGAGGAAAATTCACATTAGTATAGAAAACATACAACTGTTTCAAAAAGAGGAAAAGGTCAAAATCGAGGACTGCTGGACTCCAGGGCGACCGCAGGCACAGCTGTGGCCCTCAGGAAACTACTCTATCCCTGGAGAGAAGGCGGCTTGTGCCGCACTGGACCAACGAGACTGAGAGCCTGACGCTCTGGCCCGGTGAGGTGGCACTGCCAAGAGGCTGCTCTGTCCTGGTCCCCAGCAGAGGCCCAGCAGTGGGCATCAGTGCGGTGCAGCCAGCTGCTGCGATGGCTCAGTGGTGGGCGCTCCCTCCTGGGCGCCTGGACATCTGTTGCGGCTGCCGGCTGGCACCCCAGACCAGCCCAAGCGGCTCCCCGCGCTATTTGCCCTCTGTGACCCGCCGCCAGCACCGCCTTTTCCTCCTCTTCCCCTTGGACTTCGCCAGCTCTGGAAAGGGCTTCTCAGCCTTGCTGCTACGCAGCCCCACCTGTGACCCCAAGTCATGCTCGCAGCAGTAGGTCTGCCCATCCTGCGCAGTGCACATCGCCGCCCCATCCTGGTGCTCCTTACACAGCGAATTCGGGCAGAGGTGGCAAAACAACACGGAAGGTTTGCCACACACATCGCAGTGATGCCACGGACACTCCCACTTCCCTGCAACAGAGCTCAGCGTCAGCGCGGAGTGACAGTCACTCCTTGGGCATTTCCAGGGCCGCAGGTGAGGCTGGGGTGTCGTGCTGGGAATCACACACCTAGGGCCTCTAGCCGTGACCGACCACGAAGCACCATCCACGGCCCACCTCTCCACCAGACAGTGTCTCTACCCACACTGGCCTCAGACTTGCCACTCTGCCTCACCATCCAAACCAGCCAGGATTACAGGCTATGTCCAGCTGCTAAAACTGTCTAAGTAAGGCATGGTGCCACATGCCTATGATCCCAGAACCCTGGGAGGCTGAGGCAGGCAGATCACAAGATAAAGGCTAGCCTAGGCAACTTAGCAAGATCCTGTCACAAAAAATAATAAGGGCTCAGTGGTATAGCACCCTGTGGATCAGTCCCAATACTATAAAAAAACCAAACCCATCTAGTCAAATGAATGCAAATCAACACAAAATACTACGTTTTATTCACACCAAAGAGAAACTAATGCTTGGGCTGGGGTATAGCTCAGTGAGGAACTCTTGCTCAGTATGCAAGAGGCCCTAGCGCCCATGCCCAGTACCACCAAAACAAAACAAAATGGGCGAGAGAGACTTGAGACTCCGGTGCTCAAGGACCTGGCAGGCACTGGACACTGTTGAGTGGCGGGCTGGGCCCTGCCCAGGGAGTCTCACTCTGGCAGCCTGTGCCACAGTCCTGGGCTGATAGCTGGGACCACTGCTGGTGCTCTGGGCACCCACCCTCAAGGGACTGCTTTTCTATTTGGCCTTCCATCTAAATGGTAGAGAGGCCTCTGTCACAGGAGGGACCACCATCTCACCCTTCAGAAATAGTCTCACCTGGGCACCTCAGTTTATCCTTTGCCATAAAAAACGTGTATTTTAAAGAATATTTTTTGCAAACACCTGACCTTTTTTTTGGTACTGGGGATCGAACTTGGACCCTTGCACTTAGGCAGGTGCCGGAACCACTGAGCTAAATCCCTGGCACCACCTGATTTTTTTATTGCTTTGTGTTTTGTCTTTGGGTCAGGACCTCTTGAGTCTCCTCTGAAAGTGCTGCTCATCAGTAATTAATCCCACCATTCGTAATGAGGCAGGAGCATCCCAAGTTTGGACTCTCCATCAGCAACGTAGCAACTTCTAACACCCTATCTCAGGACCGGGGATATAGCTCAGTGGTGCAACACCCACCTGCCTCACAAGCGCAAGGTCCTGAGTTTGATCCCTGGTGCCAAAAAAAAAGACCATCTCACTGGGTGTGGTGGCACACGCCTGTAATCCCAGTACTCCAGAGGTTGAGGCAGGAGGATCGCTGTGAGTTCGAGACCAGCCTGAGCTACATAGTGAGATCCAGGTCAGTCTCAACTACATAGAGACACCCTGTCTCA